GCCATCTTCAGTACAAGTGATATTTCTTTGTTGTTTCATCACATGTAGAAGGATTTAAGTGATTGATTCTTGCTGAATCACAAGATCTTCTGTGTTTCAGGTGTGATGAATGTATATTTTATTTGCAAAATAATTTAGTACCTTTGGGATATACTTTACTTTTGGGTAAGACTAGAATGTATTGGGGGCATCTTTTCTGTTTTCCAAAGTTATTTAAGAGGTGTGTTTAGTAAATGTCTATTGGATTTCATAAAAATGCAGTGCTCACCATCTATATGGACAGTACAAGGGTTAAAATTGTCATCTAACTTGAATATCTAAATATTTGCTATTGTGTCCTCTGAGAACCTTGGGTATTTTTACCCTCCGCAGCTTTTCTAACATGAGATTGTTCATCTTCTGTTGGGAAACATTACACTTTTACTGGAAGTAAGAAAGATATAATATTTATTCTAGACTAGATAGAAAAGTATCTCTGGTCAGAACTGTAGGGGCAGTGAGCTATCATGCATAGGATCCACAGAATGATAGTAACAAATTAACCCAACTCAAATATCTGTAAACAATAACTCTGCCTTGTCAAAAGCAAATTAAAGATTATGACTTTCACCTAGAAGAGTTATCTGGAGGATGAGGAGAGTATTTATTAACATAGGTCTTCAACACAGATGCTCATTGTTTTCATATTATTATTATTATTATTATTAGTAGTAGTAGTAGTAGTAGTAGTATCATATTATTATTATTCCTGCTTTTAGAATACCTCCATTTTAGGGTTTTTTTCAATAAATTCACATATTTGCTAGAAAATTGTGTGGCTGAATAGCCTAGGTAGCTTTAAACAGATATGCAGTTCGTTACATGATTTTTTTTTAAGATACAATATTTGAGAGATGGTAAGTATGTAATATTAACACAAGACTGGCCTTCTTTTTTTCTTTTTTAGGTTAGATTTGAGTAAAACCATACTAACTTTTGTTTTCTACTTTTCTACTCCTTTTTGCCAATTCTTCAGATAACCATGACAAGCAGAAGAGGAAAGCTGTCTTAGTTGCTCTTCCTGTTTTTGTGATAAAATACTGAGGCAAAAGCAACTTGTGGCAGAAAGGACTTATTTCATCCCTCAGCTCTAGGCTACAGTCCACAGTGGTGGGAAAATTCTGATACAAGAAGCTTATGGCTGCTGGTCATATTGTATCCCCAGTCAGGAAGCAAGGATGCTAAATGCTTGTGCTTGTCCTTTTTCTGCATTCTAGAACACAAGCCACTATTAGGATGGGTCTTCCCACCTCTGATAACATAGTGGAGATAATCCCTCATAGGTGTGCCTCAAGTCTTGCCTTCTAGATGATCCCAGAGCCTATGAAGCTGGCAATCAATGCTAACCAAAGAAGCAAAGTTCAACTCTGTTTAAAATATTTTTTAGGGGTAGAAGGTAAAACTTCCTGGTTGGACTAGGTGCATAGTAAACTGAGAAGCATATCTTAGTTAAATAAATAAATAAAACCCTTAGATTTGTAAACTACAAGTAGAGTATTCATGGTTCAAAGTTATATTACTTCTGCAAAATTCAGTCCAGAGTCCCAATAATCTTCAAATGTAGAACTTCTATTTTTATTACAGTAATAGAAATGGGGAGATGGTAGGGAATTGCATTAACTGACATGCATAAGAGCTGCGTAAGTATTAACAGTTTTAGCTTGGCCTGATGAACTGAACCAACAACTGCTTAGGGAATCACTATTAACAGCTAAATCTCTAAGAAAATTATTTTTAAATCTAGCTTTCAGTTAAACTGTCTCCTATCCATGTGACTACTGCCAAGATCTGCTCAAAGTCTAAATTTTTGAGGTCTAGAATAAACATGTAAAGAAAGGCATTTCCCTCCAAGTGTAGTGATGCACACTTGTAGTCAGAGCATTCAGAAGGCTGAAAAAAGTTAGAGGCCAGCCTGGACTGGATGACCTACTGAATGCCTATCTTCAAGTAAAATAAAACAATCAACAATAATAGTATCCCTATTGAAAGTTATGGGATTTTGATCCATTTAGCCAGTGATTTACCAGACTCTCATGGATTCCCACTGCAACTGAAGAAAAGACGTGGCAAAGAGAAAATACTTTAGCTTTTTCCCCCAAGAACCCTGGTAATTAGTGTTTTTATTTTTTTCCTCTTCCCAGTGACTAATTCCAAATTTTAATCTGTGTATTATTCATCATTCATCAAGTATTTATTGAATAGCTACAACAAACCAGGCATTTGCTGTTTTTACATTTCTGAGGTTACCAAGTTGGTTACATATAATCCTTGAATTGAAACACACACTTAATATGATGTACATTAAAATAGTCTGTTACAGAGCACTGTCCCTGTACTTGTGATAGGTCTTGACAATAGGAAAGTATGGGATAAACTTTTGTTTTAGGAATTTTATAATCTAATGAGAGAAAAAGCTTAACATGTTGAAAGAATATAGAACAAATTACACTTGGGATTAAAATGTAAATATGGAGAACCACAGATCTCTGTGGACTAGCTAGAGAAATTTTTCATTGGAAAAAGAGCCTTGAAAGCAGGAAAAATTTTAGAGGTAAATATGAACAGAGACCATTCCAGGAAAGGTTACAGAAGAAATAAGTGTGCCAAGAGTTACTTAAGGAAAATTTTATAGAAATGGGTGACAAGTTAGACATAAGTGAATGATTGTAAGAACATGGAGTAGAAAAGAAGGAATTCAAAATATCCAGAGGGATTATTGTGAGAGTGGTAAATGTCAAAGTTATACCTGATGCATCCATTCTGAAATGCTGCGTTCTGTGCCAAAGAGACTGTGTTGCAGTCTCTTTGATGACTTCTGTGATGATGGATAGGATATATCAGGCAGTGATTTTTCCCCAGGCATGCCTAGAATAGGGCATCAGATACCCTGGGGCTGGAATTATGGATGGTTGTGAGCCACAGTGTAGCTGCTGGGAATTGAACTTGGGTGCTGTGCAAGAGCAATAACTGCTCTTAACCACTGAGCTGACTCTCCAACACATTACTTTGCATATTTCTTCCCCAACTAGCTGTGATTTTTCCTAAAATCCATGTCATAATTTCTTCAAGAGCCACAGAAGCCTTTGTCCAACCCCCCTCCTGCTTCTTGCCATGGATGTACCACAGGACCAATGGGGGTTCCCAAGGCTTGTAATAGTTGAACATTAGAAGTAACCTAAATTCCATCAAGAAAATTAAATAAGACATGGTACTCTTTTTTAAATGCTACTGTATGTTGCTATGAAACAGTTGAGGGCTGGGGATGTCATTCAATGGTAGTTTTCCTGGCATGTATCATGCCTTGGTTTTAAATCCTCAGAACTGAAAAACAAACCTGTATACTGATACTAACTTTTTCTACTAGATATTTATGTAGATGACAACCACAAGCACATCTTCCTTTTGTTTCTTGAGTTCACTGTTGGCTCTGCTCATCCTGTGTATGCTAGGCGGCTGGCTTATGTGGATCACAGCAATGAATATCCCTGGATTCTGTTTTGATTCATTCAACAAGGGTCCATAATTTAAGAAAAAATAATCTGGGTTTGGTAGTACATGCCTTTAATCCCAGTACGTAGAAGGAGAGGCAGAGGCAGGAGGATCTCTGTGACCAGCTTGTTCTACACAGTAAGTTCCAAGATATCCAGGACTGCATAGAGAGACCCTGTCTCAAAACAAAAGAAAATAACCAAAAGTGTTATGTTTTAATGATTGGGGAGAATTGTTACTATTGTTATAATGGTCATCTAGGAAAAGAAAATAAATAGAAATTATGGGATACTAAGTAAACATTTTAAGTCCTTTATATTTACTTTGAGGGGTTGGTTGATTAGCAACCTAGAATTTTTATGGGATTTAATGCAGGAACTGGAGAGATGGCTTTGGTCTTAAGAGTACTTGCTGTTCTTATAGAGGACTAGAGTTCAGTTTCTAGTACCTATGTCTGGCAACTCATGATTATCTGTAACTTGAGCTCCAGTGTCTTTTTCTGATTTCTGTGGGTACCTACAAACATGTACATAGACATATGCCCAGACACAAACACATAACTAAAAATGAAAATCTTAACAATTTAGCATAAAATGCATCAGACATCTCTATTCTAGTTATAATTACTTAATTGTGAACTCCATCTTACCAGAAATATGATTTAAATACATTGTAGGCTTGAAATAGAGAATTATATCAAGTTACTAGTCTAGAAATGAGTGTGAACCAGTTCATTTATCAACACCTTTTGTTTGTTTTTGGTAGGGTTTTTGTTGCTGTTGTTGTTGCTGTTTTTCAAGACAGGGTTTCTCTTTGTAACAGCCCCGACTCTCCTGGAACTAGCTTTGTAGACCAGACTGGTCACCTGCCTCTGCCTCACAAGTATTAGGAATAAAGGCATACGTTATTATGCCCAGCTCATTTATCAAGATGTTAACTTTCACATTTATGAGCCAGAAACCAGGTAGACTGGCTTATTTATCCAAATTGGAACAGATGCTTGTAGAGCTGTGGGATAATGTTGAAATGAGATACAGTTCTAAGCCCCAGTGCTCATTTAAGAATGGGTTTGTACTGGGAACGCCTATTCTCCATGAGTCCTTTGCCATGTACTTTAAACTACTCAAGCATAAAGGATGGAATTGTCATAAAGTGTTTTTTTCAATACTATTAGCTGAATAATATCCATGAAGTTCTCCAGTTTTGGAGGCTGAGGCAAGTGGATTATGATTTGAGGCAAACCTGAGCTACATAGTGAGGTCCAGGCCATACTGGGCTACAAAGTGAGACCAGGTTCCAGAAATCAAATCCAATCAAACAAACAAAAGCCATAAAAAAAACAATTTTATGCCTCTGGAAAGTAGAACCTAATAGAAACTCTTGGCTGTGCTTGGATAATCTATGGAGCATTTGAACAATACAGTTTTCAAAATCACTTAATTTTTGTACATTGTCCTTTATTTTATTTGCAGTTCTGGAAATTGCCAGTGCAGAGTGGGTATCACTGGTTCCATGTGTGACCAATGCCAAGATGGATATTATGGCTTTAACATGACAGGCTGCTTGTCCTGCCAGTGCAACAATCGGTCTAGTAGTTGTGATGTTCTCACAGGTATGTAGTTTCCTTAATTGCATATGAAATTATTTATTCCTTCAATCTTGAAGTCTTTACATATTGATTCTTTTCAAATAGTTTATAAGTCTTTGTTCTTTTTAATAGATATAATAAGGCATATGACAAGTCAAACTTTTATAACAACTTGATATTTTATGAAGTTCAAAAACTCTATTGATTGAAGAGCTGTGGAAGTATGGAGAACAACACAGAATGAAGTGTGAAAAAAATGAGTCAGAATCCCTCCAAGTGAGCTATACTCACTTGAGAAATCCTGTGTGGAAGAACTGAGGCTCTATGAGACCTGAGGAAGAGTCAGGTGGATCCAGGATTGCAGAGTACAATTTACTGGTGTCTTATTTACACAACTATGGTCAAGGGTGGTAGCAAGATTGACCAGTCCTCACAATGTAGATCAGCAAATTGTTAATTATGTGGGGTTAAGGACAAAGGCGACTTTCATTAAACCTAGAATGTAGGTAGTTTATCTCAAGCTAATATCAAAGATGCCGGGCACATTCCTGGTGAATTCGGACAGGTTCTAGTACCATTTACTGTACCACTCTATTTTTTTAATCTGCAGTGTGTAAGGAAACTATATAAGAAAAGGGCATAGGATTTTTTAGGCATAGTCATGAAAGTTGTGGCTCATGATATCTACAATTAAGTCAAGCTGTATCTGTACACTACATGCTTTCTTTCCAAGAGAGATTTGCCAGTTCTGAGCACAGGCTAGGGAATAAGGGTTGGCTCAAGGAAAGGATTTATACTGGAAGAGCTTTTGACAGCCATTTGGAGCCTTCAGGATAATTGGAAACCAGAGGAGCTCTAAACACAAGACCAGTTTTCCCAAAGCTGACTATAAAGGAAATGGACGGCCAGCCCAGAAATTTTTCATGCTGAGGAAACAAAATCCTTTTACAGAAAAGAGGACTTGTTAAAACATACAGCCAGCTCTTTTTAAATCCTTTGTCAAACTCTAAAGATGCATGGAATGAGTCTGAATGTTTGAAGCCCCAGTGGTCAGTGCTGAATCTCTCAAATCCTTCAGAGCTAAGGAGACAAAGATCTGCCAGATTCTTAATCCAAAAGTCATGCAAAGAAATCATGAAAAACTAGAGATGAACTGGCAGATATGAAAATTGCAGTCTGTGTGCAGCCCACTTCCATGCCTGATTGAATTGAGACCATCATTTTCTCTTATTTGCCTAATACAGGAAAAGAAGGTCCTCTTTGATTCTTTTATATATCAGGTGTGACATACAATAAATAACAGAGAATACAAAAATGGAGAAATGTGGCAAGTAATAAAACTTTAAGCAATGGAGTCAGCACTATGAGTAAGTTTCAAAGTTAACTTTGAAACTTTAAAATAACTAAAATTAGTATATTAAGGAATTAGAAAATCAGACAAAATGGGTAAAAAGAGACAAAATTTTACTAGAGACTAGCACTGCACTACACTCACACACAAGATTGTGCACATGCACACACACATAGGGTGGGGTGGCGATCATGAGGACTAGAGAGATAGCTCAATTAGTAAAGTGCTTACTATGCAAGTATGAGGACCTGAGTTCTAACCTCAAAACCCATGCAAAAATATTGTGCATGGTTTTATATGTATGGGTGCTTTGTCTGCATATATGTCTGTGCACCACATGTGTGCAGTGTCTATGGAGGTTAGAAGAGGGCATCTGATCCCCTGTAATGGGAGTTATAAACAGTTGTGAGCCATTGTCATGTGGGTACTCACAACTGAATGTGGGTCCTCTGAGCCGCCGTCCATCTCTCCAGCCCCAGTGGCATGAGCTATTATAATCCTAGTGCTAGGGAAACAGAGACAGGAGAATTCCTGCGACTTGCTGGCCATCTAGTCTACTGTAATTGGCGAGCTCCAGGCCACTGAGAGACTCTCATCTCGAAGTGGACAGAAATTCTGAGGGTGACACTTGAGATTGTCTTCTGGCTTACACTTGTGCACACATACAAGTGTACTTGCATGCAAATGAACCTGCTCACACATACACATGCACTAAAAAGAAGCAATCTAAAACTGACAATTAATGATGTTTTAAGTTAATAACTTATGGCATGAGCTTAAGAGCAGGCTTTACCCATTCATTAGCATTTCCTGATGCTCCTCACTAAATGTAATGTCCTCTGCTATACACTGTCTCATGCACTTGCAATTTTTTCAGACATTGTCACAATTGATGTTTACATGTATACTTGTGACCATCACTCTCATGTGCTTACTCAGTTCTATCAGTAACTTCTATCAGGGCAGGAACAGCATCAGCTTCATCGCCATTGTTTGCACAATGTATAGCACAGATATTGGCACATACTGAGCACTCACTGAATCTTTGTTGGATAAATGAACAAATTAACAGAAAACATGAAAAGGAAGGGTAAGGTTCAACATTAGGTAGCAAGAAGAATGTTTCATTGTGCTGAGTCATTAGTTTTTCTTGGGTCTTTTACAGTACCAGAAAGCTATTTACAAGATTCTTTTTCTTTCTAACAGTGAGGCAGCTCTCACACTGACCTGAACATCTTGAGATAAAGTAAAAGAAATCCTTTGAATTATTCTGGTCTCCAAAAGAAACAAATGGTTTGCCATATGAAAAATAAAATAAGATAGAATCCAATGTATAGGAGTGAGCACCTGACTTAGAGCAGCAGTTCATCTACTTTAGTCAAAATTGGGTTTTCAACAGTGCTGTGATATGGCTGCCCTCTGGTGGCCATATTGTATGTTTGCACAATTGTTCTTCCCACTAGTTTTGGAATTCCTGTTTTAGATTGATTTAGATTTTCAAAGTTTTGTTTTTGTAGTAAAAATATCTTGGCGAAAATATCACATGGAAATTTTTGACAATAGGTATAAAAAGGGTCTTGAAAATATTTGACTCAGAAATTCTATTTTCAGGAACCTTGTGAGAAAATAATTCTAAATTAATAAGAAGGTTTTTTGTTTAAAAAGAAAATGCTCATCAGAATGGTAGTTATGATCATAAAAAAGCCTAGCTACCCATATTTGTAGCAATAGGTTGTTAGTACAGTTACTTGGATAATACATAGTTAGGAACCTAGAAAATCATAACCGCCTAGTAAGTTATAAAATTAAATACAATTGTATATCTATAGTGCCTTGATTATAACAGCCAAGAAATAGTACCTATTAGAATGTTTTCATTGCAGTGCTTTTATGAATGACAAATAACTACATGACAATGTGAATAATCTGCCTGTAAAATGACAAGTACCATATAATTAGACTGTTTCAATGACAAAATCCAAGTCTCTATAAATAAGAAAAGACTTTAAGGAATGTGTTCATTCAGCGCACTTTTCTTGTTCATTTACTTCTTTTCCAGATTTTCATTATTTAGTACATTTTTCTTAAATGAAAATATAAGAGAGTCAACAATTTTTTAACTGCAAATTTTTCCTTCAGATAGTAAACTTACTTTTAAGAACTCAAGGTCCTTTTTTGTCTTGGTAGTGTCCCATGCAAGAGAGACTGCAGCAGCCTGACTCACTGACTGCCTTGGCTGCTCAGGAACTGCTTTGCTTCAGGATGTCACATTCATGGCTTTCTTCCTGTGTGGCTACTTTTCCTTCTCTGTCAGCTGTGCTCCATCTCCCTTTGTCAGCTCTACACTAGTGTCTTGGAGCTTGGAGCTTATCACATTTGTCCTCTGCACATGTACTTTCCCTCTGAGTGATCTCACCCAGGCCCCAGATATATGTGCTGTTGTCAGATTCACATCTCCCTTGATCTCCATGCTCAAACATCAATGTGCCATTCTTCAGTTTGCTTTTCAACCAGTGCTGTCTTTAAGATGCTTGTTTGTGTACATAGATAGTTCATTATTTGACTATGAAATCCAAACTATGAAAGTACTACAATTGATTTACTCTTCTATTAACATATCTTATTTTTTTTTCTGTCTACAAAGTTTCTTTTTAATGTGTAGTCAATTAACCAATAACCAATTAACCATAACATGATTATGACTATAATCATGTACCCAGCTTTCTTCTCATTGGAGACATTAAATTCATAGACAATGCTAGTTCAGAAATTAATCAGGAAGTGTTAGAAGATGGCTCAGCAATTAAAAGCACTGCACTGGGCAGGGGACAACCACCTGTAACTCCAGTTCAAAGAGCACCAAATCCCTCTTCTGCACTCTGAGGGCACTTGCACATACATGGTGCACAGAAACATAGGTAGGCAACACATACATACACATAAACAACCATTTTTAATTAGATGTATTTATTTTATTTTATGTATATGAATGGTTTGCCTGCATGTATATATGTGTGCCTGGTGCCAAGGGAGGTCAGAAGAGGGTAGTCTCTCCCCTTAAATCTTTTTTTTCTTTATTTTTAACAACAGAATAGAAGCCAAACACTACTCCTGTTATTTTTTTCTGTATAATTTTATGGTCTTTTTGCAGGCAGGATTTCTGAAAGTTCCTTAACTCTGAAACAATAATTTGATTATTTTAGGTGCTTGTTTAAACTGCCAGGAAAATAGCAAAGGGGATCACTGTGAAGAATGCAAAGAAGGATTTTATCAGAGTCCTGATGCTACTAAAGAATGCCGCCGCTGCCCTTGTTCAGCGGTGACTTCTACAGGCAATTGCACAATAGGTAAGGACTTTTTTTTCTCGGTCTTCACTTCCTTCAGCGAAGTACACTGCATTGATGAATTAGGTTCTGTAGGATGTTAAAATGAAGTATAATAATCACAGCAATTTTCCTTTCTACAAATTTGCAATCAAACTATAATACGTATATAAAATATTAATATGTCCTAATAGCCAACACTGCATGTGTCTGGCTTCTTTCATATAACATATTTTCAAAGTTCACCTATATTGTAATATATATCAATAATGCATACATTTTCTTGTTGAATTGTATAGATGCTACACTTTATTTATTCTTCCCTGAATTGGTGAACATTCAACAGTTATCTAGTATAAGTAATGCTGCTATGAATATTTCTGTTCACGTTTTTGTGTATATAATGTTGCCAGTACACCCTCAAGTCAGTGATTGTTGGATGCTTTTCCTACTACTAGAGATTGAGCCCAGTAATTCATTTGGGTTTACTGGCTAAGCACTCTGCCTCTGAGCTGCTTCCCCCAGTGGATGTGTGTGGAAGTGTTTTGACTTCTCTGGGACATACAAGTAGGAGTGAAATTGGTATGTCATATTTCAGCTCTTTTTAACTCTGTGAGGAAGTATCAGATTGTTTTCCAAAATTAAATATCCCATTTTATGTTATCATTTGGGGTGGGGTGATACATGTGTAATGTGTATGAATTATTATGGGATCAAGCATGTTATGTGGAAGGCAGAGATCCACATCTCATGTCTCCAGTCTCCCTCCATCCTATTTTTTAAGATTTTTAAAAATTATATGTATATATGTGTGTCTGTGGAGTATTATGTGCATATGAGTGTATTGCCTGTAGAGGCCAGAAGAGGTCCTCCAATTTCCTGGGTCCCCAGAGGTAGAGTTTCAGGTCATTATGAGCTACCCTACATGGATGCTGGGAACTGCACTCTGTCAGAGCAGTGCTTGCTCTTAATCACTGAGCTTTTTCTCTAGCACCCACTTTGGGGGGAGCAAGATTTCTCAGTAAACACAAAACTCACTGATTTGGGTTGGCTAGCTAGCAAGTTCCAGGGATCTACCTTTCTCAATCTTCCCAACAGAGATGTGTGTCACACCGTTGCAGTGTTTTCCACGTGGTTTCTAGGGCTCTGTACTCAGGTCCTCATGCTTGCACATTAGCAATTTACTGATAAAGCTGTCTCTCTAACCCCTACATTATCATTATTAACAAGAATATATGATGATTCTGAATTGTCCACAGCCTCAACAACACTTAAGATCTTTTTTTATACCTGTAGCTATCCTAATGGATGTTAAATGGTATTGCGTTATTGTTTTAATTTGCCTGTCTCTGATAGCTAATTGTGTGTTTATTGGCCACTTTTGTATTTCTTTTGAGCAAATACCTATTTTCTTTGTAATCTAACGAAGTGATATTTTCTTTGTAATCTAACAAATAAAGCTTGCCTGAAGATCAAAGTGCAGAGCTAAGTCACTAGTTAGCCACACACCTACTTAAGAGCTAAGCCACTAGTTAGTCCCACACACCTAAGTCACTAGTTAGCCATAAAGGACAGGCAGTGGTGACCACACCTTTAATCCCAGCACTCGGGAGACAGAGGCAGATGGATCTCTGTTAGCTCAAGGCCACCCTGGGCTACATGAGAATGAATCATTCTAAAAGAGAAACAGTTCGCACCTTTGATCCCAGCACTTGGGATGGCACACCTTTAATACTAGCACTAAAGAGGACTATGAGACAGGAGGAGACAGATACACATTGCACTCTGAGGAGCAATGCAGTTGGAAGCAGTTTGAGGTTTAATGGATCGCCTGTTCGATCTGAGCATTAGTAAAGATGAGAACTCTCTAGTGGCTGACTGTTTTGTTTCTCTGATGTTCAGCTTTAACTCCAATATCTGTCTCTGGGTTTTTATTAATTGTGCTACATTTGGGATTTTTGTTCATCTTAAAACTATAGTGTTTTTAATCTTTATGTTGATAGAGTTATAGATACAAATCACTTATCAGATGCTTGGTTGTAAGAAATGAGGGTATAGCTCCATGGGAGAGCTCTTACCTAGCAAGTAGGAGGTCCTAGGTTTGCTCTCTAGCATTATAAAATATTTGAATAAAAAGGTTAAAAAACAATAATTTGTAAATATTTTCACTTATCCCATGAATCAATTTTTTTACTTCCTTGATGTCCATTTTTAAACAATCTTTTCACATTTATATACCAATCCTAATGCTCACTCCCTCCCCTCTTCCTGCTTCCCCCACCTTCCCAACCCCACGCCCCCCATTCACTCCTCAGAGGGTAAGGCTTCCCATGGGAGTCAACAAAATCTGACATACCTTGATGTCCTTTTTAAAAGCACAAAGTGTTTATTTGTTTCATTTCAGAGGCATTCAGTTTAATTTTCTTTTTGTTGTTTATGTTGGCTTATAATTTTTCGTGAGACTGCAGTCAAGATGTTAGTCAGGGCTATACTCAGTAGTCTGAAGGCTTAATTGGGACCATAGAATCTGCTTTCAATATGGCTTACTCATATGTCTTGCTCAAAGCAAAAAGATTCTGTTAGTCACCATGTGAATTTCTTCTTTCAGCTACTTAATATCCTTGCACCATGGCAGCTGGCTTCTGCCACAAGTGAATGATCCAAAAGAGGGCAAGATGGAAGCCACAGTGTATTCTATCATTTAGTTTCTAAAGCCATAGAAATGTTTCCAATGCCCCATTTCTTACTCATGCCTATCCTATCAAGTATAAACATTTGATTACCAGGAGTAGGGAACATTTGACACAATCTGGAAAGTCAGTTGCTATACCTAATAATAGGAATTGGTACATTTCTCTTTTCATAGGAAGCTCTGAAAAATTCTGTCATTTATTTCACAAGTAGTAATTAAGCACCTAGTACATGCTTGTCAGTGTGATAGAGAAGAAATACAAAAGGCTGAAAACTAAAATATGAAAGGCTCTGCCATTGTCCCTGGGACTGGGTTTATTTTCCCCTAATTTTTCCTAAAATAAATGATGCTTTTATATAGAATACTTTGTTGTTTCTCACTATATAAGTATGTGTATTAAACATTTAGGATGTTAGGGCTGTCATCTTGAGTCAGAAATATGAAAAATTGTGTATTAATATTTAAATTTGCATCAGCAATCAGAATTCCAGAGCATGCATATTGACATGCTTCTGGTAACAATTTAAGATTTAAGATTTAAGACCTTAATAGGATTTGTAAAGAAGAACTTTAGCTGAATAAGTTATTGGTTCATCATGAGTAACATTTTTTCCTTTTCTTTTTCTTTTTTTAAATGTCAAGAGCAGTGGGAAGAATGCATTTTTATTTTTATTTTTTTAATTTATTTATTAGTTCTAGTTAGGGAACAAGCTTGTTTCACATGTAAGTCCCTTCTCCCTCTCCCTCCCCTCACCCCCATCCCTCCTCCCCCACCCCTAACCTACCACCCACCCC